GTCTATACGAAAAAACAACAGAGGAGACAAAATTGAAGAAGCCTCGTGGACAAATAAAAAATAAAGGAGAAAGCAGAGAACTCCGACAGAATTAAGATTTCCCTACAGTGCACGTACAGTATACTCCGACACTTACAAGCTATGACCGACATTAACAATACACGTACATACAGTATATACTCCGACATTTACAAGCTATGACCGACATTAACAGTACACGTACAGTATACTCCGACACTTACAAGCTATGACCGACATTAACAGTACACGTACAGTATACTCCGACACTTACAAGCTATGACCGACATTAACAGTACACGTACAGTATACTCCGACACTTACAAGCTATGACCGACATTAACAGTACACGTACAGTATACTCCGACACTTACAAGCTATGACCGACATTAACAGTACACGTACAGTATACTCCGACACTTACAAGCTATGACCGACATTAACAGTACACGTACAGTATACTCCGACACTTACAAGCTATGACCGACATTAACAGTACACGTACAGTATACTCCGACACTTACAAGCTATGACCGACATTAACAGTACACGTACAGTATACTCCGACACTTACAAGCTATGACCGACATTAACAGTACACGTACAGTATACTCCGACACTTACAAGCTATGACCGACATTAACAGTACACGTACAGTATACTCCGACACTTACAAGCTATGACCGACATTAACAGTACACGTACAGTATACTCCGACACTTACAAGCTATGACCGACATTAACAGTACACGTACAGTATACTCCGACACTTACAAGCTATGACCGACATTAACAGTACACGTACAAGCTATGACCGACATTTGGTAGTCAGAACGAAGGTGTGATGTCACAACTCTAAATGCCCATAACAGTTTGTATAACACTAAGCCTTTCAGTTGAAACTTTTAACTACATTAGTGAAATCATTATTACAGTGTTTGTCGAAACTGATCTTGTGACAAAGAATGATCGATAAATTGGACTAACAAATAAGTTTTATTTTTCGATAAACATACTTGAGGTCGGAGCATATAACATGAAATCAAGGTCGGCTTGGAGACCATACAGAGATGTGAGACGTCATAATGTGGAGGCGCAACCAACAAATGGCCTCATTTTGACAAAACTAAAAGTAATATTTGTAATATTTCTTCATCATTTTAAGTTCGATATCGACTTAATTACGTAAAGAATATGCTCCTATTGCGTCTTGATACATAAAAGGACCACGCAATAATCATGTCAACTGTAATTAAGCCTAAACAAATAATAATCTTTTAAGCACAACAGTTCTCAATATACAATGTTACTTGTTATTATTGATTTGAAATAAACCAGTACTCCTCTACATTTTTGAAATTCATATGATTAAGGCGTTTTACGCATCTCCATTTCTGTTAGAACAATAATTAGACAAATCTACATTTCAAACTTTCTAGCCCCTAGCATTGCCGATGAGTCGGAGAAGGGCGACACAGACGCTCGGTGCAGTGTAATTACTTTTTGACATACTGTATCGGTACAGTCCCATGTGTGTGTGTGTCAAGGTTCCTCTCTATAAATGCTTTTGTTTGTTTGATTTTTGTTGTTGTTTATTTCATCATTTTTTAATTTTACATCAAAGTTCCCCGATGTATAGTTTTCTTTTCAGAAATAATGTATTTAAGCTATAGTCGTATCGGTGAAAAAAACATTCGAATGCATAGTTTCAGATTTTGACATTGATATGAGGTCCCCTAAACCAGACATACATATTTTTCACATCGATATTTTTTAATTGGAGGAAAGATCATTAACACTGGTGTAAAACTCATTAATTTCATGATAATAAAGTGAATGGAAATATATATTGAATTCATTGAGCGTTCTCCAATTCCTCGACATGCCAAACGCACCAAGGGAAACAACTCTTATGACATTTTTTAGACTCCGAAAAATATAGTTATCGAAGAATTCTTTTTATTGAGAGACCAACCACGCTAAAGGGAACAATTGTTATGACATTTTGCAGATGGCGTACTTATTGATATGCTAATCTATAATAATCGGTTTCCTGTTGACCAAATAACTGTTGGGACACCCTTTATTTAAGAAATTTCAAGATGAAGAATCTGTGTTGTAGAAATTTCATGTCGTTATCGTGGCATAATGTCCAAATTAGAGAAGTCATTGTCAATCTACTTATCAGTTTAAATGGGGCACGACGATTTACCCTAAAACACCCAAATACACACAAACAAAAAACACACCCCAAACACCCCAAACTGCCCCAAAACACCCAAAAATAAACACAAACAAACCCCAAAACACCCAAATACACACACAAAAACACCAAAAACTACCCCAAAACAATCACACAACTTCCCCAAAATACACCCAAAAATACCTCAAAACACACAAAAACTTACCCAAACACACCAAACGACCCAAAACCACCTTCAAACTTATTATAATGTAAACAATAACCTAAGACGAATGATTTAGTCTTGTCTTTCAAAAACTTAGTTATGCTTCCAGTTAAGGGGAAGGAAATCGTATTGATGGGAAAACCACGAGACAGTGCCCCGACGTAATGCACTTCATTGATTGACATTAATGAACAAGTATGTCCAGATGCACTTTACTGGTTTAGGGCTTTAGGGTTTTGTTTGTTTGTATTAACAATAAAATATTTAAAAACATTGTGAATTTAAATCTGACTGAACGAGTGTGATAGTATTGCCATCAAAGTTGATTGAAAGTTTTGAAAAATCTAGTAAAGTATTCATACATGGAGTTTATTATTTTATTTGCAGCGTTGGGGATATTGTCTTGTCGTTCGTGAATGATTTACAGGCTCCCTTTACTTGCAACGATATATTTTGCAAGTCACTAATTACTAACGTTATTCTGGCAGCATAACACACAAAATAGAAAAATGTGCATACAATTGTAAATTGTAAATTAATTACATATTTCTTAAGCTGAAAGCTATCGGTGAGCTGTTTTGGGTCTTTTTGGGTAAATCGTCTTACCGTTCCGGAAATATTAACAAATGTATGGTTCACCACATTAAACCCCAAATACCTTGAATATATGGATGAAGGTAAATAATTCATTTGAATAAACACATTTGATCTAAATATAGGTAAATCATTTTGGCAGTATTGAAGTGACTGTATCTTCAGTGCAAACGCGATTCCTGGAACAGCCAAACGTCACTAAAATGTTTGCTTCAGAAGACAAACTTCAAAATGACGCTGGTCAAATAGCATTCATAGCTTTATGAACGCCATTTTTTTCTGAGAATACTTGTGGAGGAATTCGAAGTGGTTATGTTAATATAATGTTAATATCTCTTTCAGGCTGAGCTGAGATCTCCCGGGATATAATTGGGTTTTGAACACTTACTTGTTGTATATAGTTCCGTATTTACGTTTCGTAAAACGGAGTGCGTTTTGTTTACCTGGGGTTTTTCTTGTTGGGGTTTCCCTTCCGGTTTTATATTTAGATGTTTCTGATTTGTTAATAATTTTGGGATATGTTACCTTACCTGTGCAGCACTCTATATACGATCAGGTATGGGTCAGTATCGAGTTCAAATACTATACTACATTACACATGCATTTCAAATACGACATTGCACGTGCATTTCAAATACGACATTGCACGTGCATTTCAAATACAACATTGCACGTGCATTTCAAATACTACATTGCACGTGTATTTCAAATACTACATTGCACCTGCATTTCAAATACTAAATTGCACGTGCATTTCAAATACTACATTGCACCTGCATGTCAAATACTAAATTGCACGTGCATTTCAAATACTACATTGCACGTTTATTTCAAATACTACATTGCACGTGCATTTCAAATACTACATTGCACCTGCATGTCAAATACTAAATTGCACGTGCATTTCAAATACTACATTGCACCTGCATTTACATTGCACGTGCATTTCAAATACTACATTGCACGTACATTTCAAGGCATACAATTAAATTTGGCTATATAGCTGGGTGTTTTGGTATTGTATATCAATCTGTTGCAGAGGCTTACATGCTTGCCGGCTCGTCTTCCCCCTTCTTACGGGCAGGTATGTAGGAGTGTATTTCGGCCTTAGACCTCAAAATTATTCCAGTATGGGTGGTATTTTCCCATTGTAGGCATGATTTGGTAGAATTATCTTAGCGTTAATTTGGATGGTTATTTTCCCGTTGTAGGCATGTTGTAATACAGTATCGGGATGTGTTTAAACTTATTCCCCGGGGTGGGATACCGGGTGGACATTTTTTGAGAGGACATGTTACACGGTATATTGTTTTAGTATGGACCGGTCGAGTGGTTGATGTGCTGTAGCATTGTGCATATCTATTACCATGTTTCATCTAATTAATTTACTTCACTGTTTCATTTTGCACATAATAAATTGTAGAACTTTATAAAACGTGTTGCCATTCATTGACCTGTAGCAGGGACGTATAAACTCTACATACCGTCCCGGCCTGTAGCCACAGGGGAATGGATCGCTTTACTTATAATATTAAAAAAGGGGCCTCCTCTACTAATAAATACATGTATTTATTAGTATAGGAGACCCCTTTTTTAATATTACAAGTATTTATTAGTATAGGAGACCCCTTTTTTAATATAACAAGTAAAGCGATCCATGCCCCTGTGCCTGTAGCCAGCTGAAGTTCAGTCGAGACAGAAACACATAGTTGATGAACGAAAAATTACTATACGAGGACAACACTTTTACCGACGTATAATACCATGATACGTCTCTGGTAGAGGTACTGGTATAATAATACATATGTTATATATCCAGCTTCTAAAAGTCTTACAAGATCAAAATGATCAGTAGCCTAGTTGCATGTTCCTGTGACTGTGCCCAGTCTCCTGAGCCATATTTAACAACAGGCTGTCCCGCGTTCCCTTAAACTGTAATTAGTATCACTGCTTGTATTGGAACTCTCCTGTAACTTCACATTTCGATTTCCGCTGTTTGTTTTGATCTGTGTCATGTAATTAGTGTGTGTGGGGTTTGGGAATGATCTGATGATGGAAGAGGTAAGCATGCAGTGTTGACATGGCGTTCATTTTGAATAACATACATATTTTAACATAGATTTAGATATTTGATAGGATATTTTCGCACTCTTCTTAAACGTTGACTGTTAGGCATTTCCCTTGAATATTGTTTTCATTTTTTTTTTTTTGTGTCGCCTTTTTGGATGTCGGAAAGACACATATATATAGGCTATAGGCGCTGCTTTTCCGCGTCAACAATGTGAACAGGTTGGGGCCGGGAAAACCACCAACTTGTGTACATACGCAAACTAGCCTATTATACGCAAGTTGGAGTATGGATTTGTTACTAAAAATGGGTCACCCTAATGAGTGTCCTCCGGGTAATGAGTGTCCTCCGAGTCTCCTCCGAGGTTTTTGCGCGCCCGCGAGTTCGTTATAAGATTTATTTCACTTATTTCTTCTGATTCCTAAATATTGTTCATATATCTAGGTGTGTGCAAAATTTAAGTTCGATCGTAACAGTACAAAGTACCGAAATACGTCGATAAAAATGCATATTTGGGAAGAATGAGTGTCCTCGAAGGTTTTTGCACGCCCGCGAATTCGTTATTAGATTTTTTGCACTTTTTTCTTCTGATTCTTAACTATTGTTAACTTACCTATATGTGTGCAAAATATCTGGTTGATCATAACAGTAGAAAATACCGAAATACGTCAATAAATACTATTTTCAAGAGGGTGGATTGAGTGTCCACGGAGGAATGAGTGTCCACGGAGGTTTTCGCGCGCCCGAGAATTCGTTAATCAATATTTTTTACTTCTGTTTTC